ATATATATATATATATATATGTATATATATATATATATATATATGTATATATATAGATGTACGTAAACATAGTATAAACGAATCTACAAATAGATAGAGATACAACTATATAGATATAGATGTATATATACACAGACGTAGATGTAGATATAGATACATAGATATAGATATATAAATATATATATATATATATATATATATAGATATGCATAGAGATAGAGATACAGATACAGATGTATAGATATAGATATATAGGTGTATATAGATATGATAGATATAGATATACATGCATAGATGTATAGATGTATATAGATATGTAGAGATAGGTATAGATATAGACTACATATAGATATAGATGTACAGACACAGAGATATACAGAAATATATATATATATATATATATGTACATATATATATATGTACATATATATATATATATATGTAGAAATATATAGATGTAGGTATAGATATAGATGTACAGGTATAAACAACTAAATTTATGTATGCAAAGAGGCAGACAAGGACATCAGACATTTACTATAAAGAAGAAGAAGCAGCAAACACCTTGAGTATTAGACAGCCCCAAAGTTGGTTGCATGCATTCTTCATTAAAACAGCAAACTTGCATGCACCCCACACAACACATCTGCTGCTGCGCTGCAGCAACCCACACGCAGCAAATGCAGCAGCAGCGCTGAAAACAGCAGCAGCGCTGAAAACAGCAGCAGCGGCAACTTTTAATTGCTGCTTCTGCTGGTGTTGCTGCAGGTGACTTGCAGCAACAGCCGACGCTGCTGCAGCAGCAGTCCCAAGTCCAGCAGCAGCTGCAAATGTAGCAGCAGCAGCAGTAACAGTAGCAGTAGCAGCAGGAGTAATAGTAGCAGCAGCAGCAGCAGTAGCAGCAGCAGTAGCAGCAGCAGTAGCAGCAGCAGCAGTAGCAGCAGCAGCAGTAGCAGCAGCAGCAGTAGCAGCAGCAGCAGTAGCAGCTGAAGCAGCAGCAGAAGTACTATCAAAAGGGCAGCAATCGTTTTAAGGCATCTATACACCGCAAGAGCTTAGAGATTAAAAACACAAAAAGCAGTAAACCGTCTGCATGCATGCATGCATGCATGCATGCATGCAGCCCCCTGTCTCTGTTAACAAACAAAAGGAGACAGCAGACAGGGAGACGGAAGCAGCAATCGATGTACAATGAAGAGACACCGAGAATCGACACACTGCCGGAAAGGCATATTGCTGCTGCTGCTGCAGCAGCAGAAACAACAGCAGCAGCAGCAACAACAACAGCTGCTGCTGTTGTTGCTTTGAGTAGATAAAATATACAAAGCTGCTTCCGTAAAATCCTGGTGGTGTGAAGCTGCTGCTGCTTATGCTGCAGTAGCTGCTGTTCTTACTGCAGCAGGCCCAGCAGCAGCAGCAGCTGCTGCTGCTGCTGCTAGTACTGCTGCTGCTGCTAGTGTTGCGTCACTTCCTTGTGCTGCTGCATTTGCAGCTGCTGCTGCAAGGCTTCCTGCTGGTGAGAATGGTGCAGCATTGCCTGCTGCTGCGCTTGAAACTGCATCGGCGTCGCTGCATGCTGGGGTCCACAGAGCTGCTGCTGCTGCTGCTGCACCTCTTGTTTCACTTCATATTCTGGCCGCAGCTCACCTTCCTCAGGTTGATGATCCGTAGTATCCTGCTGCACCATATCTTGCGGAAGCTGCTGCTGCTGCTGTTGTTGCTGCTGCTGCTGTTGCTGTTGCTGCTGCTGCTGTTGCTGCTGCTGCTGTTGCTGCTGCTGCTGCTGCATGAAGAAGTTGTTCTGGACTAAGTAATGAAGAGCAGCAATAAGCTTCTTCTCCCACCTCCTTCTGTCTGCTGCCTCCATCAGCAGACGAAGAGGAGGTCTAAACATAATCTGCTGCTGCCCTCTAAAAGGAGGTGCCTGTACACCCCAGTAGCTTCCACTGTCTGCAAACCAGCAGCAGCAGCAGCAGCAACAGCAGCAGCAACAGCAGCAGAGGAAGCATAAGACGCAGGCTGCGTTGGAGGGCACGTGTTCCTTGACTCTAAAAACACTAAACCCCAAATCCAGCCACTGTAAACCCTAAACCCTAAACCCTAAACCCTAAACAACTTATTCGGGTGTTTGCACTGAAGACATTCTGAGGTGTATGGCTAGGGTTTAGGGTCTGCAGATTAGGGTTTAATAACAAAGCGTATTAGGGTTTAGGGTCTGGGGCTTCTTAGGGTTTATTAAGGGGGGTTTAGTATGGCCTATTTGTTTGAAATAATAAGGGTTTAGGGTTTAGGGTTTAGGGTTTAGGGTCTAGATTTAGTGTTTACTGTCGAAAGTTAGGGTTTAGAGTTTAGAGTTTAGGGTTTGGGGTTTAGGGCAAGGCGTTTAGGGTGTCCGGTCTGGTGATTAGGGTTTGCTGTCAGTAATTTGTGCTCTAGGGTTTAGGGTTAACAGCTAATGGCTTAGGGTTTAGAGGGTAGAGTTTAGGCTTCAGGGTTTGGGGTCTATAGCTTGGGGCTTAACGCGGAGACCGTATAGTTTAGGGTTTAGGGTTTAGGATTAAGCGTCCAGGGCCTAGATTTTGGATAGACTTTAGGGTTTAGGGTTTAGGGTTTAGGGTTTACCGTATGGAGACAGCCACGATTCGGGAATGCGCCCAACCGAGTCGTTGGTGTTGCTGGCGAGAGAATTCCTTAAGATAGCTGCAAACAAAACCCTAAACCCTAAACCCTAAACCCTAAACCCTAAAGCCTACATGGTGTACTCAGCAATCAGTCTCTAAGACCACAACCAGCCTAAACCCTTGCTGCCTCCAAGACGGGCGAACCGAGGGTTTAGGGAGCAACCAAGTAGGTTTAGGGTTTAGGGTTTAGGGTTTAGGGTTTAGGGTTTGAGGGCTGACTGACTCTCCAAAACACTCTTCGGATGGTCTAGGGCCCCCGTAGACGTTTCCTGCAGCCAACGACACATGTAGAAACCCTAAACCCTAAACCCTAAACCCTAAACCCCAAACCCCAAACCCTAAACCCTAAACCCTAAACCCTGGGCTTCGCGTGGTGCCCCTGAATTCCTTGCCGTCGCTCTGCTCCCTTTAGAACCCCTAGCCCTAAACCCTAAACCTCAAACCCTAAACCCTAAACCCTAAACCCTAAACCCTAAACCCTAAACCCTAGACCTACTCCTGGTGAGCGCTTCTTGGGGAAGGAAGCCTTTCTGGCTGAGAGCCACAGGGCCACCTCTGCTGGACTGTCTACGATGCTCTCCCTGCAGCAGCAGCAGCAGCAGCAGCAGCGGCAGCGGCAACAGAATAGGCAGCAGCAACGAGAAACAGCTGTGCATGCAACAGCAGCAAATGCAGCAGAAGAAGCCGCAGCAGCAGGAGCAGCAGCACCAACCGCAATATGCGCATCAGCAGCAGGCATCGATCCAACAGCAGCAGCAGCAGCAGCAGCAGCAGCATCAGGACGCACCCCTGTTCATTCTTCATATGAGAGAGTTTATGCAAGCAAACTGCATGCGGAGGCCCAGTGTACGTACACCCCAACTGAGGGCAATTAATATGTTCTTCTTTCTCGTGTCTCTGCAGCCGACTTAATGAAGAAAAGCTCTTCTCGCACGGACCGCATGCAAAACGCTCGCTGAACAACAAACCCCACACCAAATTACTACGGTTTAGGGTTTAGGGTTTAGGGTTTAGGGTTTAGGCTGGAGGGCTTGGGGTGGGCCGGGAGGCGTCACAGCATGACGCCATAACGCAGCCACGCTTTAGGGTTTAGGGTTTAGGGTTTAGAGCTTAGGGTTTCAAGGAGGGTCTCTTGTTTGCTAAGGCCACGCGTTAGGGTTTAGGGTTTAGGGTTTAGGGTTTAGGGTTTAGGGTTTGGCTCACAAGCCTTTTTTGCTTCTGCGCTCGCGATAGGACGCCACTCCGGTCCCCGCTTCTGTCTTAATCCAGTGCTGCAGCGGCTGCTGCTGCTGCTGCTGCTGCTGCTGCTGGATTGGGGTATTTAAAGGAGGCGGTGGCGGCGGCTGCTGCTGAATCCAAAGCGGAGGGCTGCTGCTGCTGCAAGGAGGTGCGGTGGGGACCCCGAAGCACTGCTGCTGCTGCTGCTGCAGTTGCTGCTGCTGCTGCTGCAGTTGGTGATGCTGCTGCTGCTGCAAGGCACTACTGGGAGTGTAACTGCTGCTGCATGCGCCGCTGCTGCACGGTGGGGCTGGAGGAGGCGGAGGCGGGGGAGGGGCTGCAATGAATTGCTGCTGCACTGGCTGCTGCTGCTGCTGCTGCACCTGCGGTGGCTGCTGCTGGTGCATCTGTTGCGGCCAGTTATGCTGCACTGGCTGCTGCTGCTGTTGCTGCAGCAGTGGCGGCTGCTGTTGTTGCTGCTGCTGCATAGGCGGCTGCATGTGCTCCTGCTGCTGCTGCTGCTGGGTTGAAAGCTGCTGCCTCCGCTGTCGTTGCTGCCTCCTCTGATTTGTGTGGCGCCCAGTGCGTTGCTGCTGCAGCTGCAGCTGATCTTGCTGCTGATGCTGCTGCTGCTGCTGCAGCTGCTGCTGCTCTTGAGGAGGTCCTGCTAGTCCTGTTTGGAGCCAGTAACTCTGCTGCTGCAGCTGCTGCTGCTGTTGCACTTGCGGCAGCTGCTGCAGTGGCTGTTGCTGCAATTGCTGCTGCTGCAACTGCTGTTGCTGCAGCGGTTGCTGCTGCAGTGGTTGCTGCTGCAGCTGCTGCTGCTGCTGCATTGGTTGCTGCTGCTGCAACTGCTGCTGCTGCAGCAACTGCAGCGGTTGCTGTTGCAGTGGCTGCAGCTGCTGCAGCGAATGGAGCTGATGCTGCTGCATTGGCTGCTGCTGCATTGGCTGCTGCTGCATTGGCTGCTGCTGCGTTGGCTGCTGCTGCAGCGGCTGTTGCTGCACTGGTTGTTGCTGCACTGGTTGTTGCTGCACTGGTTGCTGCTGCAGTTGGTGCTGCTCGGGCTGCTGTTGCTGCATCAGCGTTTGCTGCTGCTGCATCAGCGGCTGCTGCTGCACTTGCTGTTGCAGCAGCAGGTGCTGTTGCTGCGGCACTAGCTGCTGCACCTCTTGCTGCAGCATCTGCTGCTGCATTGGCTGCTGCATCAGCGGCACTGGCTGCTGTAGCTGCTGCTGTTGCAGTGGCTGCTGCAATGACTGCTGCTGCATCTGCTGCTGGAGCGGCAGTTGCTGCTGCAGTGGTTGCTGCAGTGGCTGCTGCAGGGGCTGCTGCAGTGGCTGCTGCAGTGGTTGCTGCAGTTGCTGCTGCAGTTGCTGCTGCAGTTGCTGCTGTTGGAATGCTGGCTGCATTTGCTGTTGCTGCTGCTGCTGCTGTGGCTGCTGCACCATTTGATGCATCTCCATGCCTTGCTGCTGCTGCAGTTGGTATTGCAGCGTTTGCTGCTGCTGTTGCTGCAGCTGCGGTTGCTGCTGCTGCAGCCCCAGCTGCTCATGCTGCCTCAGCTGTTGCGGCTGCTGCTGCGGCCAATCAGGAGGCGGCGGCGGCGGTGGTGGTGGGTGCTGCTGCTGCTGCTGCTGCTGCAGTTGCTGCTGCTGCAGAGGCTGCCCATAGGAGACTTCTGCATTGCACATTCCCTGCGGGGGAGGAGAGCAGCAAAAGCTGCTGCTGCTGCTGCTGCTGCTGCTGTTGGGGTGCGCCTGCATTGGTATGCTGCCTCCTGGGTGATGTTGCTGCTGCGGCAGCATTTGCTGCTGCTGCTGCTGCTGCTGCTGCTGCTGCATGCAAAACACTCTTTGGCGCTTATTATGGAAGTCCTGGTGCTGTCGCCTCTGCTGCTTATGCTGCTGCCTATGCTGCTGCTTGTGCTGCTGCTGCTGCTGTCCCCAGGAGCTATTTTCGTTAGCCCCTGACGCTGTGGGTGCAGCAGCAGCTGCTGCTGCAGTTGCTGCTGCAGGAGAAGACGCTGCAGCAAGTTTTTCATAAGAAACCCGCAGGGCTTGACCGCGATGGCGGGGCCCCTTTCCTCCTGAGGGGGCCCCCATGGGCCCTTAAGGGTTTAGGGTTTAGGGTTTAGGGTTTAGGGTTTGGGGGTTTCTGATTTCAGTGCAAGATTTGAGCTTGCTGCGCATTGCAGTCGGTGCTAATGCTGCAGCTGCTGCAGCAGCAGCAGCTGCTGCAGCTGCTGTAGCAGCTGCTGCTGCAGCTGCTGCAGGTGCAGCCTATGAACGAGACACCTCCGATGCTCCTTCGATGCTGCAGGCCTTGCTGCTGCTGTTGCTGCTGCTGTTGCTGCAGCTGCTGTTGCAGTTGCTCCTTCGGTTGTTGCTGTTGTTGCTGCAGCTAGTACTGCCGTTGTTGTTGTTGTTGTAGCTGCTGCTGCTGCTGCTGCTTCTGCTGCGGTAGCACGGGGTCTCGATGCTGCTGCTGCTGCTGGTGCTTCCGCTGCTGCTGCAGCGGTTGTTGCCTCGTCTCCTGGTGCTGCTGCAGCTGCTGCAGCTGCTACAAAGCTAAATCTAATTAAGTTATTTAAGATTCTCACAGAAGGAGTGAAGTGCAGTGGGGCCCCCAGGGGGCCCCTGGGGGCCCCGCAGCAAATAGCGGTTTGCTGCATGCAGCAGCTTAAGCAGCAGCAGCAAGCTTCTTTTTGTTTGTTTGTTTTGAATAAATAATAAATATTTATTTATTTTTATTTATTATAATAATTTACCCTCAGACTCTTTGCTGAGCTACAGCCTCCCTTCTAGTGGTTTAAGTGCAGCAGCAGCAGCAGCAGCAGCAGCAGCAACAGCAGCTGCAGCAGAGTCCTATGTGCTTTCTTAAGTTTATGAAAACCCTGTAGCCACGAGGGGTGTAGGTCTTGTGAGTGTTGACGTATTGATCTAAACCCTAAACCCTAAACCCCAAACCCTAAACCCTAAACCCTTTAAACCTGAGCTTAAGCTGTCTCTTAAGTGCTGGGGTGTATATGCACCTGAGGAGACAGGTGTGTGCATGCGTACACCCGAGAGGGAAGAGGAGAAGGAGACAGTTTACTACTCCATGTTCTCTGCTTGTCTGATCTATAATAAAAT